CACCAGTCCAGTGTAGAGTGGGACAATCACCTCCCTTGACTGGCTAGTGATGCTCTGCTTGATGCACTCTGGGACATAGTGTGTACACCATGGTGTACAGAACACACAGTAGGCAATGAGGGACCAAATCCCCATCAGTGCAAGGTTAGCAGTGCTTATGTGCCTGTTTTCAGCAGCATAGTCCCTGGAGAAGATGAGGATGCTTTTTGCAATACCCAAACCACTCATCTGAAGTGGCTATCTCAGTCAAAGAGCTTTCCTATACTGAGAAAGAGAGGGGGGGATTTGCAGAGAGGGACTTAGAGCTATAGAGACCTTTTGTTCCTGTTGATCACAAAAGCAGTCAGGCCTCCTAATGTCAATCCCCAGGTGTGGGTTCAGTTCAGCTCAACAGACACCCAGGGATGAATTCACCTGCCTAAACACAGCCATCGTATCATTTGTCTTAGAGTATCTGCAACACCTATGTGGCCTGGAAGATACAACACAAACCTACATAAGGGCTGGGTCCTCTGAAACGGGAACTAGATACCAGGCAAAATACCCTGGGACATATCAAGTGGCACTAGCACTTCTGCATGGGTTCCTGAACTGATCTGTACGTTTAGGTTGAGCTGAGTAACTCTCTAGGCTTCATCCCCTGTATCAATCAGAGCTCCACTAACTTGTATTACAGCTTAGATGATACTTAAATTAGCTGTTGATACCTACATGGAAATACTTAGATTTGTGTGTCTTAATCTGCAAGCCAGAGGCTTTCCAATGCTTCCACCTCCTGCATGCAAGCAGCACAAACCAAGCAGACCAGCCCCTGAAGGTCTCCCCATAGAATACCCCTCTGCCTGCACTGGCTGTTGTAGACAAACTCAAATCAGACAGCTAAGACTACAAGAGTCAACACTTACTGTCCATCAGATGAGCAGAATGGATTTCCTCATTTAGGGAAAGGAAAGAGCTAAAGCAGACATACTTTAGCCTGTAACACGCTGCAAGTAAATCATCATGTTTTTGCAAGCTGCAAAGTCTCATTACTGCCATTTGATGAATTAATCAAGCTTCAGGATATCCTAATAAGTGAATTAATCTGTTTCCTAAAACAAGAATAAAAGCTTCACACTGTTAAAGCATAAACACATCTAGAGGGCAGCAATGATATTGTCATCTTTAGCTAAATATAGATCCTGAGCAGAGACAAGTGCACAGCCACACACTGCACCAACACATACATTTTTCCCTTTTTTTCTTTTTTTTTTTTTTTTCCCTTTGAGAATAATACATAAGCTTTGCTGCAAAATTGCAAAGTTGTATGTGGATGGCATCATTTTCAGATCCTTGGTCAAAGAACACTTTGCCTATATTCACAAATCACACTACAGGGTAACCAGATCTCGATTTGTCAGCAAGACTTTATTTCCCAAATAAAGAGGGAGAAAAAAAAAATCACCAAAATAACAAAGTGTCAGAAATGAAAAATACTCACAGACTGACAGACTTTGTTTTACGAATCCAGCTGAAACTTATCTGAGTCACTCAGCAGTTCCCAAGAGACACACAGAAACACAGACACACGCACAAAATCACCACGGGAATATTTTGCAGTTAGAATGGAAATATTTTATGCAAACGGTTTATTCTATAGTGGCAAACAGGATGGGATATTTTATGCATCAGTTCTTGTTCTTAAGTTTTTTGACTCAAATGCCCTTTCGTTAAATTTTGCTGGCATATTGCGGGGTTTGATAGCATTCCCCATCCGAGCACTCAGAGGTGCGACAGAGCGACAATCAAAGCATGCTAGTTGACGAGATGGATACTAAGTCAGGGTAGACCCATCCAAAGCCTTTGATGAGCTGATCTGTGGAGCAACCTGCTTGTCGCATTTTATCTTGAATTCCATACATCACGTGCACAGAGACTACAATAAGGTGCAGAAATAGCCCCATGAGTACCAGAGCTTGGGCAGCCTGGTTTGCCATGGATCAGTGTCTGGTGCTTGACAGAGTCTAGTATAAGATTTTCATACAGTTTGGGCACCTCCAATTCTGGATTTTCTAGTATCTACAATGCAAAATGTAGATACTTTGTTTACGGGGAATGCTACTGGGTTCATTCTCTCCAGCTGATGAGCTATTTTTATGAAACTAGTAGGAACTTGGAATCTTTGAGATCTTAATTTCTTAAAAAAAAAAAAAAAAAAAAAAAAAAAAATTGAAATTGATCCAAAAGTTTTATACAAATTAGAATGAGAAATATAGTCACAGCCATACAAAACCAAACTAAAGACACGCTATAGTTCCCAAAAGGCGGCAGCTCGCAAACATGGGATGCATGATAGTATAATAAATAGCTGAGTTATGAGCTAGAACTGGGTAAGCCCTTAGTTAAAAAAAGGCATTGCACAGTGCTTTTTCTGGACTTGTCTGATTTCACTCTCAAGAATAATTCAGTAAAATATTACACACCGTCATTTCTCCTTTTACTTCACCAAAATGCAAACCAAAACAGGACAAAACTACACGACACGTCCTAGGCAGACATCCTGTGTTGATCCAAGCCATTTCCTGATCAAACCTTCACTTTGCAGCTGGATTATTCACCTCTGAAATTTGCAAGATCCATTTCCCGTTTTTTATCAGTTGTCTGTGCTTTTTTTATTATCTGCACGAGGTGCACGGTATAGGTTTTTAGCACACTGAGTCCCACTATAAATGGCCCTCTAGTCAGCCCACAAACTAATCTGGCGAAATCACGCAAGTAAAAGTAGTCAGACTGTGTCAGTATTTGGCCTTCCCAAACTTTGGGCACGTTCTGCATGTACTAGTTGCCACATCTTTCAAATCACAAAAGAGATTGCATCTCTGTATTTGAATCTTAACCTGCTGTCCTACACTTTCCCAAGCCTTAAATCACCAACTATCTCCCAAGAAGCTACTGATTTTACACGTTGACTCAAACCTCAATATAGTCCTTCCCTTCCTTTTCTGCCCCACAACTTGGAGGAACTACACACATGAAAGAGTTTAAGAGTGTAAGATCAACTGAAAGCCACCTACTGTGGCTTCAGCGTACTTTAGATCTCTATTGCAAGCTACATACGGTACCACATCTGGGCACCAGTACGCCCTACCAATCAGTCCTGCAGACATATATTTGCTCAACGTGACTACTCACATTGTACGTTGAAAGGAGAAAAATGTCCATTTCCCCAGACTATGAATAATAATGTTTCAGCATTTCAATAACATATTTTCATTAGTCTTTATTTAATTAACATGCCGTTGTTTTAAGACCAATGAATTCAAGAAAATTTATTAGCACTGTAATACAAGCATTAGCCACCATTGAGAAGGAGAGGAGCAGGAAAGAACTTTAAATCAGGTCATCGATGAACTAGTGAAAGAATTAACAAAGTTTATCAAAATAAAATGAGGCATTCAAGATTTTTTTCTTTTATACAAAAGAAAAGCATTTATATTCTCTCCACTGTGTTTATGATATAAATAAGGAATTATCCATACTGCATTTCTTTTTTTATTTTCCTTCCTTCTTTCCTTTTGGAGAAACAAAAATGGAAATGGAAAAAAAAATTATTTCACTAGAGGTACCTTTTCTATGGCTGTTCTTTTGGGGTCCATTCTGACACACTTGCTTTTGTCAGAGCTGCCTTAATTCTCAGGAATTTTCTTTTGATCTCATCTGAGACTGTAAAGGTAGTGGACTATTTGCTATAATCAAAGACAGCAGAACCCAGCCCTTTGCATTTTCCCACCTATTTTATTGCAAAGAGCCCAGGTCAGAGAATATAGGATTTCAGGATGATCGTGTAGTTCTTTGAGGTAACCTCCTTACTCTGATCAAAGTCAAGGATGACAGAAACTGGTCCCTAAGAACAAATCTGGAAGAAGGCTTTGTTTTGCATAGCAAAGACACAGAACTTTTGTCTAGTTATCTGACCTTGGACACCTAGAGCTGGAGAAAGAATAAATTCACTTTCAACAAGTTAAAAAATAAGGTCTAAGATGACAGCATCATTTATTTACTGGACTTACTGAGAATGCTAGCCCCGCAAAATTAACACCATCTGAAAATTAGACTACTAACATCCGAGCAACAGTTCAGAGTGAAACATGGAATGACATGTCCCCACAGTCAAAAGCACACTGAGTAGTCTGAAAAAATGAGTGACAAACAAGTGGGTACACATGTTTGGAACTAATATGTTAAAAACTCTCCATGAAAGGTCCAAACAGTATTGACAGATAAGGAAAAGGAAATGAGTGCCTGGGTCCGACAGCCTGAATAATAAATTTTTAGTGAGTCATCATGATTGTTTACCTCTAAGACTAAAGCATCAGTTCCAAGAGATTTCTAAGGAGCCCCCATACTCCCTTGCTTTGAATATCATTTGCCTTATAATATCCTCTACCGTTTCCCTTGCAGTATAATGCAGCCACCCCAGCCTCAGAAGCCAACTGCCGATGAAGTTACTAAACAGATTCCAGACCCCAGCCTTCTGTTTGTTAGATACAACTTCCAGCCCAGTTTGTCCTCCTGTTCACACTCTCAAAGGGAGAGTCCTCTCAAAATACAGTTCTTAGGTGTTAAGACTAAGCACTTCACAAGTCAAAGGATATTTAATTATCTGAATGGCTGAAGCACTGCTACAAACACATTCAGCTACACATATCTACACATGAACAAACACACAAAGCATGGTATACCCTCCTTAGACTGCAGAAGGTATTTTTGCCTAGATCTACCTAAATATACTTAAGTAAAGAGGAATCGGTGTCCAAAAGTCTGTGCTTTTCAGAAATTTGCATCATTCCAGGCAGGAATTTTGAATATACAGGCTGGAATCTGGAGGAAATGTTAATTCCCAGGCAAACACTTTTTTTTTTTTTTTTTTTTTAAATTTTTAGTGGAAAATATATATTTGGTCTCCCTGGGTGCCTTCTCAACACCAGATCTGTGGGAAAAGGAAAGGAGTTTGTACTTACTTGTGGTGTTGTATTTGATCCCATTGAAGAACTCCGGGCAGGGTCTCTCTACTAGTTCCCCGGCAGAGGTTCTGGGCCAGCAGGTCCCGATCTGATCAGTTGTGGCATTGCAGTACGGACCTTTTGCGTTAAAAAAGGAGAGAAAAAGGGAAGAAGAAACAGTTGAGAAAGCACAAAAGCAACACACTTTGCATCACAAAGCAAACCGAATCTGAGCACTTATAAAGCTTTTCCCAGCCCTGCTAGGTAATGTTTCCTACCATCAAAGCCCAGGAAAGGAATAGACGAACTCTCTAAAAAAGTCTCTTGTAAATGATCCAGGAGGCTGCAGTTGACATCAAATTCTTCTAAGATGAACTGAGATATGGTCACATCCATTATTGTCCCCGGGACTGCTGGACTGGATCAGGCTCCTTCCCCCTTTTTTGTTTTGTTTTGATTTTTTTTGTCCCCTCTCCTTTCTTCCCTTCTGGAAACAAATGAACCTCAAGCTGCGGACACCCTGCAATCTCGTGTGTGTGAGCTTCTCTTCCTCCCAGCGTGCTGACAACTTGGCTGAGAGTCTGCGTCTGGCTGTGCAGTTCAATCCTCCAAGCTCTTCTTTGCTTTAAAACAGCGGCTGGGGAACCAATGGGATCACACTGAGCCCGGAGTAAGGGGCTTGCGTCTCTTAGCCAGCTTCCCTGGTCTCGCAGCTCTCCAATGCCGCCTCACATTGCCAGACTGTTGTATTGCTTTCTCTCCCTCCCTCTTCTCACTTTCTCTCTCTCTCTCTCTCTCTCACACACACACACACAGACGGTTTTATTGTTAGCTTCAGGGATGAGCACTTTTGCAAAAATACTCGCTGCAAATTAAAGCCAGGGAGAAAAGGAAAAGCCATCAAATGAATATAACTCCTCTGGCTTTTTGCGAAGCAAAGCAATTCTTGCCTTTACTGTGAGGAACTGAGGATGAGCAGAGATGCTTGGACAGGGAGGGGGAAGAAGGGACCCGGTCCAGTAGCTGCAGCACTGGATCCTGAGCAGACCTTGAGAAAGAAGAGAAATAATAAAAGCTGGGATGAGGGAGATGGTCTGATAGAAGGGAGGCATCAGAACAAAGGAATCGGCAGTAATGACCCACAGGAGAGGCAGGGTGGGGAGAGAAGGGTTGGGAACCCAGCCTGGGTGAACCAAGGCACAGAGGCAACACATCTTTCAGTCACTGTGGGACGTGCTGGAGAGCAGCTTAGACCTAACCAGCCTTTCTGACTTGCTACATTAGTATATGAGGAAATCTGTATGAAAAAAAGAGATAGCCCTCTCTGCAGGGCTGAGGATGATCATCTAGGATCAGGGATTCAGAAGGATCTTAGGAAGCAAATGGAAAACTGACTTATACGGGAGAAAAGCAAGATCAGTGTGTATACTAGTAGCAGAGATGAATGCAGAAGCAGAAAGCAAGGACAATAAAGAAGCTTTGACAGAAAAAAAGACAATAAAGAAGTTTTGACAGACAAAAAGAGATCCTGTTTACAGTCTGTGTTCACAGCTTTAGATTGGACGTGGTGCTTACACTGAGCTCAAAGCAGTGGTATAGGACTTCCAATAACATCTGTCTCCCACCCTGCAATGGCCTGGACTTTCCCTTTACTCATATTTAAGATTGAAGGGCTTTATTCTCGACTCTCGTGTTATCCAAAGATAGGAAAAAGAAAAAAAGAAATAAAAATCACTGGGTTAGAAGGGCAAATAAATTAATAATATGCAGTGATGAGAGAACTATCCGGGAAGCTGTTTTGCCATCTGGGAATCTGGAGATTTTTTAACATTTTCAGATTGCAATGGGGCGAGAGGGGAGGAGTGCCATCGTGGCTTTGGGATGAGTATTTTTGTTTAAAATATGTAAAAACCCACAAAAATAACAAGTGTCCTAACTCTCCAGGCAGCATGATATTCTGAGGGAAGTGAATGTATCTCTCTGTTTCTCTCTCTGAAGCCATGATCTCCTTCCCAAGTGAATGTTCCCAAAATTGCAACCCTTCTTCAGAAATGTGCGTTTCAACAAATTGACCCTTCTCAACACCACCAGATCTCTTTGTCCCATGCATCTCTAATCCAAAAAAGCACAAGAGGTAGTTTCTTTAGCACCATTCACACAACATGACCACCAGCAACATACCGGTTGTATTTAAACGGGACTTTGAGGAGAAAAAACTATTTTTTGAACTTTCAAGTGAAGGGCATAAAGGGTGCTCTAAACCTCTAAGCAATTCACAGACATCTATCCATCAAAGTATCTTCAACTCTACACTTCAAGTTTCTTTGCTTCTTCCTGCTAGTGCAGCTGAGTTCAGAAAATTTATTTTTTATTGCTGAAGCAGAGCCTCTCAGTGATGGCTACGAGATCTTCTCAGAAGACAGCATTTGTAAGCGCTCAATGTTATCACTGACCCCAGTGGCCATTTCGATTGAGGCACAACTAACTGATCAGTGAGTAGGGCACTTGTCCAGGATGCTGATAAGATTTTTTTTTTTCTTTCTTCTGCTTCTGCTGCCTCCCTGCAGGACAAAAATCACAGAGCCTGGCCAAGAGTCTTAATTTCTCACCTACCGTCTGCCTTGTCTATTTTCTCACACTATTTGTGCAGTACCTATCACACTAGAATCAAAAACTTGGCTGGAGTCTTTGGGCACTACAGTTTCCTGAATTTTTGGAGGAATGCATCACTTTTAATAAATTACAAAAAGAAATAAATTTTCAAAAAATTAACTATTTTTAAATTTGGTAAATGTTTCACTTTTTCCTAAATGGAAACCTCTTCAAAAGGTTCAAATATTACAGAGTTGAATACTAAGCTGGATTTCATTTTAAAACTATTCTTTACAGCGGTTTACACCCGAAACAACAGCCTTGAATTAAATTAAATATTTTTTCGGGATTAAGAGAATGATTTCTTCATTTAAGTGAGAAGAGCTACAAAATCTTCAATCTAAAATGATTCCTCCCTTCATCCTTTCAGTTCAGCTAACTTTAGAAAATCAAAAGCTGTACATATCGCACAGATAATTCTATTACATTCCATATATTTAACACCCAAAACCACTCACCCCAAAAATAAATACAGAGGTGATGAATAAATTGTCAAGGAGTAAGTCTGAATCAAGAAAATAACTGATTATTCCTCAGTCCACAAATTAGCACCACTGTTTAATAATCCCTTTCCAGTTCTACCGTAACCTTTTGATGAAAAGCTACTTTTGCAACTTTCTCTGGGTACCATTAACTGCTTAGTGAACGTTTGCCTCTGGCTGGATCTAGTCAAATCCTGTCCATGTCAATTTGACTCATTTGATGTGAAAATGTTGCTCTTTATAAAAGCAGCAAAAGCAATTAAGTGAAAGATTGACAGAAGTATTGTAGCTGCTGACACTGCTGATTCTCTGCTGATGCAGTACGCCTCCATGATGCATTCGATACAAATAACTACTAGACCTTGCCAGGCAGTAGGTAGCAAAGATCTGCCTTAAAAATTACTGAGCAACCCAAGAAAGCTAGTAATCGCACTTGGCAGGCAGAAAAACTTTGTCAACTTAAAAGCGGGCTTCTTCCTATGCGTAGGTATTCATTGGTTTCATCGGGTGTGTATGCAAGACACGTGCACAACCAATCTGTGTAAGAACATCTGAACATGCAAGGTTATGGAAGTGAACAAGACAGACAAATAAACATGTAAACGCACACAGAGCTCAGTAAGCCTCTTTTTACAGAAGAGAGATTGTAAAGTGACCTACAGTTCTTCTACTAAAGCAATGAGCTCTGCTCATAAATGGGATCCAATATTCCCTGGTAATGGAAATCTTTGTACGCCCCAACCCTTGCACCAGTGTTACACGGAGTTTTCTCAAACTCCAACCCAACCCGACACACAGTTGGTAGAATTAGCCAGAGGATGGCTTTTAGTTTGCCCCACTAACGGTGACTGACAAGGATGACATCGTGCTGTTTAACCTGCAACACCAAAACTCAGCTCTGTGCAGAGTCAGGCAGCCAACGCATGTGTTCGTGTGGGGTGACAGTACTCCCAGACCCAGCTGACTGCTCGAGGGACCTCTTCTCCTCAGGCACTCAACTGCCACAAAATCAAGAAACCACTATATATTTCAATACCCAAAATGGGTATTGAAAAAAAAAAAAGAGAAAAAAGCACCAGTTCTCTCCTCATTTCCCTTCCTCAGAGAAAGAAAAGCCCACTGTACCTCATCCACCTTTCTTTTCCCACTACGGTGATGGTTTTATAACCCATTTCCCTATCCATTGATGCAAAGAGCTCATGATTTCCAGGCACAAAAGTCATCCATCTCTTCTGGTATGCAACACAAAGCTTAGGACAAGAAATGCACATCATTTGTCAAACAACCTGGCACACCAATACCATTCTTACTTCAGTTCCATTGGTTTTCAGGTTTTACCTCACCAATATGGAAGTATAACATGGAGTCACAGTCTATTGGCTCTTTAGGTCTCTGTCTTTTAATCCAAGTAAATCCACATCCATACTCATCATCTAACATTATAAATTGGTCTGTTAACACAGTCAGGGGTCTGTGTTTGGAGATAAGCAGGACAGCTACATACCCAAATAACTGATTCAAAAGTGTGCTATGGTCTGCAGGCCAAGTACCATGCCTTCTGGTTGAACTTCACTTCTGTGCGGCCCTTATGGAGTTAATGCAGGTTCATGTGAAATGCCATGAACACTTTGTGATGTTTATCACATTCTCAGTGAGGGAAAGACTCAGGTGAATCTCAAAGAAAGGACTCCCTACCTTGGTTTTGATGGAAAAATGGCAGACAGAGAGAAAGATGAAAGAGAAGGAAGAGGAGGTGAAAGAAACATATCTCTTATTTGCAGAAATGAAGTCTTTAAATCCCTAGAGGACAACCAAGAGGCAGAATTAAGCTTGATGGAACAAATACAGTCATCAACTAATTGCTCATACAGCCCAGCTGCTCTAGCTTGGAGTTTAGGGTCTACCTCTACATTTTTGTTACCTTTAAATATGAGGCAGGATGGTTTCAAATGGCACAATAAGTTTTTCCTTATCTCTCCTTTTTCTGTTTGAAAAATGTCCCCCAGTAATCCTTAATTATTGTGACGACCTTTCAACATCTGACTTGAACGTTAGTGGGACTATTCAGCTAGGTAAGGAACTAAAGACCATACATTTTAAGGAAGGTACTAATTTACCAGAGTGGCTTCTGGACCACAAACCTGAAGGCCCTCCTTCTCAACATGCACTGCAAAACTGATCTGACTGCACTTTCAAATGGAGTGAGAACATGACCATTACCTGGTAAAATATTTATCTTTCCTTCTCATTCAACATATGCCG